GAAAGAGCATCACTTCTCCTTTGTGCCTCACTGAAAATCATAAGCCACTTTGCATTTCTTCATAAACACAAAAGCAAGCAAGAATTGCTTGCAAAGCAGGAAAGGAAAAACCTGTCCAGAACAAGTATTTTGTCAAAGCTTTTTAAAAGGAAGACTACAATTAAGTCAAGAAAAAACAAACTGTAAGAAAACACTCAGTGACTTTGGAAGTCAGCAGGCATTAATACTGATACTTATTTTTATTGCCACAGAGTGGCTGGTGAAATTGCTAACCTGAATGATGAGTTAGTATGAAATGTATGGGCCGTTCCATCCTCACTAAAGGCATTTTTTTTGTGGAGTATCTGTCATCCTAAAGACGCACTTCTGTTGCTCACTGCAGCCATAGTCAGGCTGAAACAGACTGGGAAGCACATCCAAGTACCTCAACAGCCTCACATTTCAGAACAAGGTATTACTTTCTTTGTCACCCAGAAATGGCAGGCAAAGCTGTTCATCTGGGGCCAACACAACATTAGAGTTAAACTCACCAGGAGGGGGAGGCCTCTGTGGTGGCTGAAGTGGCCGAGGCCGGGTAGGAATGGAGAGAGACCTGCTTGGAGTCCGACGGTTGCATTCCCCACCTGCCTCCAGCTCTCGCTTCAAATCAGCCAGGTCTGTATCATCTAGGGAAATTTTAGAAAGGATCCATATTAGATATCCACTGGGTGAGATGCACCAAATCCGGGTGGTCAGGACAGAGGTGATTATGAATAGCAAGCCTCAACCAGATATCTCAGCAACACGACATGGCTCCTTTCATACTGTTTTGCTGTCCCTGAATGTCTCCGTGCTCCTACTCCAGGAAACATCTACCCTTTTGTCAAGCTCTTCTCTCTCTCTCCTTTTCCAGCACTTTTGTAACTGTTTGTGCTGACATAAAGACTGCCTACATCTGATTTCAGGGTTACTAGTCACCTTGTTAGATTCTGAGCTTTTCGCAGCCAGACTTGGTGGCAACCTGCTCTCATTCAAACTGTGTTGTGGCAGCCATGAGGAGGCTAGTCATGGTCAATCTCTCCTTCCTGAACACAGGAATTCCCTCTGAGGATTAGACAACTTTCCTTGCTCAGGAGAACTGTTTTATGCCAGAGAAAAATCTGTCTGAATGGCTCACTCATCATATCTCTGCTTTCCAGCAATGTCTCCTAACAGGTACACCTGCCTGGATCTGAGAGCCCTTGGCTGCACCGTACATGACTAGGTAATTACACAGTCTTTCATCCCGACTAAGCCTCTCTGACAGCTGGAGAGGTGAGCAGTAGGGATTGCTTTAGTCTCCCAGTCTGCTGAAGTGAGGGCTTTCGCTTCAGTTCTCTCACACTGCCATGGCTGCCCAGCCATGCAGCTATGTTCTTCGGGGCTCCAAAATCCACTGGGTTTAGTTTTGTCCCTGTGGTTTGCAGAGGACGAGGAAGGAATTGTGGTAGCAGTACTCTCTCATACTTCAGGCATTTTCTACACAAGTTCCTGTTTTTTCACAAAGCTCTGCTCTGCAGGGAATACCAAGCTGCCTCACAGTTTCCTACTCCCACTCAGCAGCGGATGGCAGTCACACAGACCCTGCCTGTGATCTGCCCAACCCGCCCTCCTCCTCTCTCTGCATTTCCAATACTTCTAAGCTGCAGATATAGGCTCACCAGTGGCATCCAAGGAGTCATGCAGGCGCCTAAAAGCACAGCTTGAAATTCTGGCAGTAACACTGAACACAAGACAAAAACCAGCCTCCACCACTCTATCCCTTCCCCTAAAAGGCTGCTGGTTTTAGGCAACGGCTCCCCGGGACTTCAGTTTCAAGAGGCTGTGCCCTGCTCCGACCTCAGAAACACACATACACACTGCTCTAACCGTCACTGGTTTCCATCTGTGTCTAACACCACTTATACAATCATCATACCTTCAATTAGGAGTCACTCAGGCAGAATTTGAAGCTTATGGAGGCAGCTGAAATTGCAGAGACTTTCAAGATGGATCGACTATATCATATTTTGAGTTGTGTGAGATCACGACCCCACCTTGACCTCCTTCAAACTGTACTTTATAGTCTCCATTTACTTGGTGATATTTTTTGTGGAGAAGAGTTAGTGTGGGTGAAAAGAATCACTGCAATTCTCTGTAGCTTAATGAATCATCGCACAGTAGGCCAGAGGTGTTTGGAGGGCAAGGCATCCTATAATACAAAGTGATTGGCTTCACAGTATTTAATAATGACAGATTACTCCTTGGCTCAGGGCTAGGTTTCTGGGTCTGGCCACACTGCACCCAGCGTATGACTCAAGGTGGGCAAGAAAGCTGTATATCACTCTGATTGTTTGGCAAATCTGTGTAAACTTACAAATTTCATTAATCTTTTTGAACTCTACCTTTGACTCAACCTTTGAAGGTATTGAAGTTTTCGCTTTTATGTCAGAAGACAAAGCACTTCTGAGAGAGCACAGAAAGACAGCTACTGAATCACTTGCTGTCATGACGAAGTGTTTCATACGTGACCCAGCCTGCCATTGCTTGGTCACCACAGTACGTCCTGATCACATCCAATATAAGACCACCACTGGTTCAGCTAGTTCTTGCTGCAGTTTTTATTCGTATTCTCTTCACAACTTTATCTTCTCTTTACCAAGTCATTTCACAATAATGTGCAAACAAGCCAGGTGACCAGGAAAAAGGTAACGCGTTTATGAAGCACTAAAAGAATGAACTTATCTGTTGTGAACCTCAACTTCTTCAGAAATGAATCAAATAGGAACAAAGGAGAAACTTTAAGCTTCTTTGAAGTCATTTGAACACAACAACCTCCTGGACTGTCCAGCTTACACCTGACTGCACTGCCACAGCCATTGCTCAAAGAATGGGGCCAAGCCCACCACTGAATCAACAGGATTCCTTTGGTTTGATTTTGCTCTGGCCTCACCAATGAGACAATAATGGATAATTTTTTGTTGTATGCTCTGGTGCCAAAAACCATAAATTTCTCCTAACTATAAAAGGAAATCAGCATTTCTCAGCACTCCTGCCTTGCCCTGGGCTAGAGAGGAAGAGGATCTAAGCCTGCATATTTGTACTGCTGTTATGCCTGAGGGCCTCAGTTACAGTCATGAACTCAAGGGGGGGTCGAGCACTGTATGAACATGTACCAAAAAGATAATCCTTATCTTTGGAGCAGCTACAGTGAAAATATAAATGAACAGGGAAATACAGACAAAAGGAGAACAAACAACAAACCTTCAGGTCCTACTTTAAGAAATGTAGATAATTTACCTTTATACAGCCCTGGGTTTTGTCCAGATTTGTTTGCATGACCTATGGAGGCAAAATGTCCACAGCCTTCAGGCATATCTTCTGCTGTGTCTGCTTCTAGGTCTTGACACAAAGCATCATCTAAATAATCATCTTCATCCTCCACTATATCACCTGAATTAAAATATTAGGTAACAAAGACCTAGTAAGCAAATGCATTCTCTGTCTCTCTCTACTCCCAATGAATTTAATAGACGGGTTGGGCAACCCACTCCTCTTTTTAAGAAGTGTGGTTTCATTAGAAATTAAGATACCACTGACACTCATACTGCACCTTCTCTGTGCAACCAAAGTCAGCAAAGCAATTTCTCACAACTTAGCTTAGAAACCTGGTGCTCACCTTCCGAGTCATAGTCCAAACTTGAGAAGTCAAAATTTTCTTCCAGAAGGCAGGAGTTTGCCGTGGGAGACATGGGGACAATGCTGTCCCGTTTACGAGCAATTTCCTCCTGAAGGCCCTTTAGCCAGTCCTTGGTCTTGGGCCGGATCTTCACTGTTCTGCCTCTGACCTAACACAAAGAAAGACTTGTTTCCCCTCTGCCAAGCAACTTCACGAAATGAGAGCACCTGGACAGAATAAGCAAGTGCTGCCAGTCTATTGTACAACTGCTTCAGCAACTGATACAACTAAAGCTTTATTTCAGAATCTAAATGAAAAGTAAGCACGCCTCCTACCCCCATAACCAAGTTTTCAGACTGTAACAATATTCTTCAAAGACAGTTAGCTTCACAGCTCAAAAGCACTGCATTTGGGAAATACTTGAGAAATAGGTGAAACATCAAGTATCATCAAAACGATACTGTGATAGTAATAATGGTGTGCGAGGGTTCCACTTTTGAGTCAGGAGCTTTAAAACACACAAGAGAGTGCTACCTGCTGCGATCTATTAGGAGACTCTCTGCTCAGAAAATCCCAAATATGATGGTTGATGTATATGGAAAGTATATTATTAAACAGATTAAGACCACAGCTGCTAGTATGTGTTGCTCCATGACATTTGGGGTGAGATGTATCAAGCCAGCAGCTTTGGCAGCAAAATTAGTTTGGAAAGCTCATGACCCAGGTTCCCAGCACCTTCACACATTGTGTTTCACTCTGCGTGATAAATTACATCAATGAAATGAGCCAAATTAAAACATAAAACTCCAAATATGAAAGAAGAATGAGAGCTAAGTCCATTACTTTAGTGTTAAGTTTACAGTGCAGCCCCACAAACAATTTTGTGAGCGTAAAGGAGGGGGTTGATGAATTGTAGAGTACGTGTGTGGGAAGGAAGAGCAGGGGATGGGAAGGTAAACGCCTACTGCTAATGCTGAGTTTGCCATGGAGGCCAGTGAATCACGTTGTTCCAGTTTGGCAGAAGGAGTTTATTTGATACGTTTAAGAGAAAAAAAAATCTCCAAAACCACAATCTTGAGGATGCTTTGGCAACAGCATAAAGTCACGCTTAATCTCAGGAGAGCTGCTTCAAGTGCCAGAACAATAACTGAGTCCACGTATTCTGGCACGGTATCAGAGGCCAGACCCTAAGCGCTGCTTAGGAGCTCCAAGAAGTCACCTCCTGCCCTCCAGAAACTGAAATACTGCATTAAAAGCCTCAGCAGCTGTGAAAAGCTAAGGACTGCGAGCACTAAGTTTCTTTAAAATAATGCTACTTGATTTAGCTAGAAACATAACTATCTCATTCTAAGGAACCACTTTTGAGAAATTTGTTATGAAAGTATTATTATAGGTCTGAGAGAGTCTTACTTTGACGCCATCTATATCCATAACACGAAGAGCTGACTTGCTATCTGCAAATGTCACCAGCATTTGACCTCCACTGATCCTAGTAAGAAAAAAACAAAGGAGAGAAATCAGTGCATTCTACTTCGCCATTGAATAAAAAGCCTCAAAAGCAAGCATGACAGTTTTGTACAGCTATGTATTTGGGATTTAGTGGTGTTTTCCTCACAGCTCTACTTTTTGGGGAGGAGGAAGTGATCTATGAATCCTAGTTGGCCTCTTCCTCTCCCTCATTCTCCCATGTGATCCCAGCACCCTGCCCTTTACTGCGTCGCCCCTGAAGCAGTAGTACAAACGACTCAGCAGCTGTTGATGGGATACCAAGTCTGATACCCACGCTCCCTCTGTATTAACTTCCATGGCTCTGCATATCCCTCACCTCAGAGGACATGTGATGTTCCCAAAGCCTAGTATACCATCAAGCTGTAAAGCATTAAAAACAAAAAACCTCCACCAAACCACATTCTGTTCTTGCTCCTTTTCTTCACAAGCAAGGTGGTGCTGCTGTTCCTGCAGGGCTGCTTTCAAATCCTCAACTTACATTTGATACTTCATAAAACCACACAACAACAGGTTTTCTCCATTAATAAATGGATCAAATAGAACATAGACAAGTTTCTGGTCTTGTTTCCCAGGTCAACTGTCAGGTCTTGGCCAGTTTTGCCAAGGACCCGCCAGGAGAAGCAATGCACAGTAACGAGGCCTGAATCTAAAGATGATTCATTCAAGCCTCTGCTTTATGGTGCTGTACTGAACAAAGTTCTCCACTCAGCCAAGAGAGCCGTTAGACTATTTCTTTAACAGGTTGATGAGAGATAAAAGATATTCAAAACACTTGTATTCAATTTCTAATGAAGAATTCAACATGCAGTAAAAGAATTCAGCATACTACTTTCTAATACAAAATTAATTCTGTCAGGACAAAAAGGGAATTTCTAGCCTGTGTTTTTGAATAGATGACATGCCATTTCAGATCCCGAACTCACCTGACCAGAACCACAGTGCCATAATCCTCAAAGATTTGCATAAGCTCCGTACGCAAGTCCTCAGGAAAATCATTTTTCTCTTCAGGCATTGGTGATAGCAGGTTTACCACTACTGTGGCATCCAGTGGTCCCTGGAAAGATGACACTTCCTGGAAAACACTCTCACGGGCAGCTTGATTAACTTCCTGAACTTCAACTTCTACAATAGCTAACACTGGCCTGCATGAAACAAAGGAGAAATGCTTATTTAAAATTAAGGTCAACATCAGCCAACAGGAAGATCAACATCACCCAACAGGAAATGCTTATATAAAATTAAAATCAACGTGAAGCAGTAGGAGAGATAAATTAGTTGTGTGAAGGACAGTTTAAACTCTATACATCTATGATTGCTTCCACGATGTCAAATCTCACCGCAAATATTTATTTAAGCCTGCTATACCTTAGAAGGAAGTGATTATTATGTTCTACACAGAAAGAGAAGTGGAACAAATTACTTAAGGTCTCACTGCAAAAAAGCACTATGGCTGGCAATACAACCCAGAATTTCAGATTCTGGGGGATTGTTTCATTTTTCCTGCAGTGGAAGATCATGCCTTGAGCACTGTCAATTAGCACTTCTGTCAAACCTGCAGTCTAAAAAGACCAGGATACTTCCCTCATTATCAAACATCTATAGATCAGCACAGCAATATACTATTTTCTGTCAGACAAGGCCACATAAAGATGTCTTCTTCCAAAAAGTAAGGACAAGGTACCAGAAGCGTATAACGTGGTTATGTAGCAAACATATGTCAGTCCATCACATTATAAGCAGCCAACACTGCAAGCTTGCTTCTTCAGCCATTTCTTACAAATTACCTCTCTGTGTTAGATCTAAATAAACTTGAGAAAGCTGTCTGAAAGAGTAAAGCTTGTCTCGTCTCAGTGGATGCAATCCACATTCTCGCCTGCACGTACACACAGAGCAGTAACCAGGATGGCTGCTCTTCTAACTATGTCAAAATTGCTGCCTCCTACTTGCAGTAGAGCAGGCTCTGGAATACACATTACCAGAACATATGAAAGCAACAACAGCAGAGCTAGAAAGGAATAGTAAAGGGCAAAAAAATGTATAGGAAATGTTAACTATTTCTATAAGCACTATGAATCATAATGCATTTCCATATGTCACAAAGATAGAGCTAAGCCCTTTTTCCAGCACAAACCTTGGGAAAGCAAACCTGCTGACTGTAATTAAAAAGCAGGTTTTGCAGTCAAGTTTGCTGAAATAGAAAACCAATGTACAACAGCCATGTTTCACAGATTGCATCCTCAGGGTCCTATATAATGAGTGCAGCAGTTCCACTGTGCTTTGCGGAACACAACAATGTCAAAGCCTTGACACAGAGAAATTGATTGCAAGAGGCATGTTCTTCCATTGCTGGAGGAATACAGAACAGTCCTCACAGGCAAGAGCGTCATGAGAAGCACAGAGCCAGCTACTGTGAGTCACTGAATGCTGCTATGAGAAGCAATATTGTAGCATTTCCATAGGGCAGGCATGGGGTGAGACAAAGATTATTTGGAATGCAGGTGAGCTTTCAAGCTGTATTTATTACAGCATTTGTTTCAGAGAAGTGAAGCGGCGACAAGTTTAACAAAGAAAGGTCATTCACATCCCTAAAGAGAAGTTAGTGATATGGACCAACCAGACGCACTGGCCTTTGTTTTTTCCTCTTCATCCCATCTCCATTTCTAAGGGAAGCCCAGAAGCCCAACACTTCACTGCTCTGAAGAGGTCACACCTGGCCCTACGTACATGGCTTACAGCTCTTCAGTCCGCATGGTCTCAACCTCCTCTTCTCCCACAGCAAGCTGAGCGAGAGTCCATCAGAGCAGCTTGTTTTGGTATCAGAGCTTTCCAAAACCAAGCAACAGAAAGCCTGCAGTTTTCTATCCCCGTTGCTGCAATTTATCGAACCCTTGCTGAGATCGCAATGCAGAGAAAACAATACAGGACCATAGATACTTTGCCACCCTGGTATAAAACCCACTATGAGGGGAAAAAAACCCCACCAAACAGATACTGAACACAGAATAAGGGTGTAATTCCTGTTACAATCAGACTCAGTCCCTCACTCTGAAGGTGTAACCTAGCAGCCCTTTCTCTGATTATTTGCTTAAGACTTTACCTGTGGTCAGATGCTTGCAGTTCCGCTCTCCCATAGTACATCAAGGCTCCGGGGGTCCAGGTGTGCCTGACTTTAGTTTCAGCATTCAGATCGCTGTCTAGAAGATTGATCTCTCCAGCTATGAAGCACAAAACATGATTTAAAACTCACTCACAGCTAGTTTTACTAACAGTTAAAAGCTGTTTTATTAGGATGCACTTCATAGATCCTAGTAGTGGGAAGTGGGGGTCTTTTTGTTCTTGTATAAACCATTCAAAGAAGAGCTTGTGTCCTTAAAGATTTACAAGTCAGGGACTAGGAAAAAAATACAGAAAGGACAGGGAATACCACAGAGACAGCTGATCACTAGAATAAGACACCTGCAAAATGGTTAACCTGAATGTCACTCAATTAATTACCTGTACAATCTGGGTTGACAGAGTCATATTAGTATTTTTCCTCCTGGCCCATTACTGAACATAGAAACCAACGCTGTACTTGCAAAATACACTGCAAATCTGAATAATACACAGGGACTGGAGAAATAATACACAAGAGATGGGAGAAAGCAAACGAATGCAAATCCAACCTCCAAATACTTCCTTTGCAATGCATCAAGGTGACAAAAAGTGCTTGAGACATTATGCTAGAGTGAGGTATTATATTGCTGTCAGTAACAGGTCAGTGTTTGGGCTAATGAATAACTCTATCTCTTTTTTGTGGAGTTGAAAATGAATTAATAAGGAATATGGCATTTCTGCCTAATCACTTGCATGGGGCTACACTTCTCAGAAGGCAAACAGTCCTCTGTCCTATAGCAGCAACAAGAAGCAAGGCAAAAGAATTAGAGAGAAGAGGCAGAATAGCCTTGCCACCAGCAATAAAGGAGAGAAACTCTGGCAATGAACTAATTAGAAAAGCTTTGCAGGGCTGGGAAGGTGGGTGAACAGAGAAGAGCTCAGTTATATACCCACGTGAGCTAGCTGTGGGAGGCCTACAAGCTCTAAAGAGAGGAATCTGCCTTGGCTCTTGCAGACCAGCTAGATAGGTCCTACGTGCTGTGTGTGCTCCATCACCTAAAGTCCTCCCAAGGGCAAGCCTTGCCATTCAAAATAAGGAATATGCATGGAAAATGCTAAACCGTTTTCTTTCTCCTAAAATGAAAACAACTAGCACAAGAGAGTTCTTTTAACCTCCTTATAATGTCTCATACAGTTTTTCTTTCCCAGATCACATATTTCTATCAATGGCCTAAGCTCCTAATTTTACTTTATTTTTCATTCCTTAAGTAAGCGTGAATATATTCTCATTAATATGTACTCTCTGATTGACCTAGCTTTGCTTTGTAGTTTTTACATTTAGTGTACTCATGGTATGACGTGGATTCCAAGCAGTTCCCAGGCAGGCATGTGAAAAATCACATCTGCAAGCACAAACCAAATTACTTCTCCAGTGATTACATTTTTAATATGAATTTGTTTGGATTTTATAAACAGTGGGAAATAGATGTGCTTGCAGACTGAGAGAATGGTTATGAAAACCATCCCTGGATACACAAAGAAATACTTTTTATTTTGTTATTGCAACTTTTGAATAAAAAGTGAAAGCAGCTCTTCTGTTGTGGTGGCCTCTTACGCTCTCAAAGTACTTTATAAGCACTAATTAATGAAATCTCCCCCAACTGCAGACACTAGCAGAAATGTTTCAAAGCAGAAGAAATTACAGAAAAGTGCTTATACATAGACTGAGGACAACAGTTAAAACAATGTAGCTGTTACAACACGGGAACTTTATGTGGACTAATGATTCTATTGAAAAGCAACAGACTCATTTCTAGATTGCTACAGCCGGATTGTTTTCAGTTCCTCAGCGAGCTCCCAGCACCCTTTCAGTCTGTAGCATGAAGCCTTTCTTCCCATGCTCAAGAAGAAAGGAGTCTCTATCTCTGCAAGTTATTCCAGTGAAGCCAAAAGAACATCTGCTTGAGTAAAGCCACTGCAATTCGAGTAAGCCTACAGGACACATCTAAAGACAGCTCTCAGCCCAGAACTCACTAACTCCCTTCCTCACCATTCACTAGGTTAAATCCCCTTATGCGGGTTCTGGATGAAATCTGAAACAACTTTCAGATATAGGAGGAGGAAAGACTCTACGCACCTGTTTTTTCAAAAGGCAGTTTCTTTCTCCACCAAAGCACTCTGTCAGTCCAAGCTGGGGTTCTGCACTTATCACTTGTATCATAAGCCTCTGAGCCAACATCATATTTATATGTTGGCCCAAAATTAATAGTCCCTTCATGGAAGTCTTTAAAAATCTATGAAAAGAAATACCATGTCTTTGATTACACTACAGATGAGGTAGGTGCCATTGTGATGTATTAACTTTCTTGCAAACAAACAACATCCTGATTTTTAAACAAGTTACTGCATTCATGTACTACAAACAAGGCTCTGAAATTGCAACTTTTTCACTCTCTCAAGGAATTAGACCAAAAAAGATGAGACACACTGCCTTACTTTTCCACTGGATTTTTGCTGTTGTAGTTGATCAAATTCCAAAAGTGTCTTCCAATCTTGCCGTTTGAGAAAATAAAAGACTTCTTCATATGTTAGATCAATGCGATAGTTAAAATCACCACACCAGAAGACATAGTCATGTGAGAACACGCTCCGCCCCTGGTTTAGAGGTACAGAATACTGTTAATGTCAAATCACATTCATGAAAACACCTCTTAAATGCACTGAAATGTACAGCTCAGTCTCTCTGAATTACTAAATACCGGACCTACTTGTCACATTCTATTTGTTAAAATCCATCTTCTGCTAAAATAGAATGGTTCCTTCACTGTCTTTTGCATCCTGCTGAGCTGAATTTTGTAAACAAGAGTGTCAGACTCTGAGCTCTGTTTCTTGAAGGTATGTCTAAGCTGGGACCCCAGCTTTGTATTCACCATTTGGCTATCACGAATATTAAAAATTTATGTTCATTTCCCTAACACATTTCACACACATATATTTACATCTTCTAAAAGTAACATAAAATGTGCTTCTGGTACCAAGGCACATTCAGCAACAAAGGTCCTGAGTAAGAACGAGCTCCAAATTTGATCTTGTGTGCACATCATAGTTTTGTAAATGTATTGAAATGAAACGTCGATGAAAATTCACTCCAATTCTAAGTTTAACATCCTATCCTCTAATCATTTTTTTTTTTTTTTTTTTTTTAGTTAAGCTATAAATCTCTAAAACCCAGAGACTGGTAAAGGAAATGTTCCAGAGCTGTGGCTGTCACAGCACTAGAGGGCACTCTTTATATGTATTGTAGACACAAGGTACATTTTATTGTAAATGTAAAGGACATAAAATAGTTAATGAGGTATTAGAAGGAAAAACTACCATAAGCACAACTTTATGGCCATTTGGAATAGACATTCTATGCAGGACGTTCAGACTGTCAGTATTAGTTGTTCTATAAAACAACTGATTGATATGCTGCATGTGCCAAGCCTCTAAACCTTGCAAACAACAGGGAGTTAAAATGTTATGCTTTGCAAACTAAATGCCATTTTCTGCTGACTAACCAGAATACACAAACTGGTCCGTTCCCTCCCTGGACCCCTCCAGAGAGGTCTGAGAAAGAAAGCATTGTGGAAATTAAAGGAACCAACATTGAGGGAAGCAAAGAAGGACTACTATCAAATCCCATGGGTTATCTGCTGGCCTGAGGAGACAAGTGTGAAATAAAACACCAGGGTGATTGATTTGACACCATTTAGGGGAAAAGTTATTCACGCAGACCAATAGTGCCTACTTGCCACACTCTGAGAAAAGCCAGCAGCTCCTTGACAGTGACACATTCATGAGGACACAATGAAGGGAACAGAAAGTACCATATCAGTGACCAAGAACAGATATATCGTACCCGAGCAGGAGCAGCTAAAGCACTGATGTACTGAGTAGCACGGATGGTCTTTTAGGAACCCATGCTAACTAGTGCCAGCAAGAGCTATCGATATCATGCTCTCCAGCTGTAACACCAAGTCACCTAGATCTTATTCATGAGGCTTTGCAGATTTGTCAGTTAAGTTGCACCATTCTGAAAGATCAACTTGCAAACTGTTCAGAGGTGAGGACTTTTCAAGCACTGCAGCAACTCTGTTTTTTGAAAGGCGTAGAACTTTTGTAAAGCAAGTGCTATACTGGTGGTATCTGGTCTCCTGTAAAACACGCTTCCTCTTTTTTTTTTTTTAATGTTTTCTTTACCATTTTCTTTTATGCCCGTTCTCCATGGCACTGAGATGACTTCTTTGATGACCTGTCATCAAAGACAGCCTGAGCCCAGCTTTCATAATGTAAAGATATAGCCTTTATGTCATATGTCTTTAGCATATATACACCTACACTTACCATTGGGAAGCTGAGTTTCTGTGTGATTTCTTTATAATCTTCATTCCTCTCTTTCACCTGAGTCTGCCCAGCAGTTAAGTGACTGCAGATAAAGCAGAAACTGGTACTATAGAACTGAAAACGAATGCTCACTGCCCCTTTATTTCCAGCTTTTCCTCCCATTCCTGTCTTCACAGTGTCTATTGCTACATCCCTGTATTTAAAAAAGAAAAAAAAAGGAAAGAGAACAGAAGAGAGTAAAGGGCTGCAGGGACAAACATTCAATTAACTTTGACTGCAACATAAACGAAAAGCCAGTTTACAATGCCATGTCTTCTCCCATCCGGAAAGCTTGCTGCTTTTAGGCACCATCTTTTAGGCTGTGAAATCTCTTGATGATGCCCATGTACTTATGTTGCAAAGTAAGTATAAGACAATAGTATAGAAATAAAACTATTTGCAAGTACTTTCCTCGTCTTCTTGTCTTGCTGTATTGTTTGGAAGGGACATTATTTCTGAAATACTGGGAATTTCTACAGAATATATTTTTCAAGTTTACCTCTACCATGATTTTTGAAATAGTGACAATAACTAATTTTACTATTATGTTTCCTTTTACTTTTGAACATACGGGAATTTGCTTTTCAGACAGTTGATTTAATTAGTGTTACTATGTGTTGAAACCCAGCTTCACAGTTGATGCCAGATTTTTCAGTCAATTAAAGAGCAACAGATCATAACCTATAATTTGTTAAATTAGATGCAATAAAATCAGTGGATACTGGATACAACTATTTATACCTAATTCCTAAAATGAGTTCTGTACTGATGACAAATTGCTTAGGGCCTCCATGTTGTTAATTACATAGTATTTCAATGTCACGATTAGCATGCACTTTACTACAGAAAGATGGCTTGGCCAAACAGATCACCTGCTTGCAAGGTAATTTCTCCCAGATAGCCAGTCTACTCTGAGAATAAAGCATGCCTGTCTGATCAGATAAGTAAATGATGAGATCATTGTTGTAGCCAACCCCAGCATCATCCATGTCCTTCCCAGTGAGAAAATTTTACTTTCCAGACAGAAGTCAAGCAGATCTGGACTAGAATATTACTGGTTTTAAGCAAGGGGCAGGCAGAAAACCACTAAGTCTTATTTGAGTTATTGTCAGGCATTCACGATCTGAATAATGCAAGATGTTACAGGCTCTCTTTCTCCCCCCGCTTCATTTTCTTCTCTCTTCCCCCACTCCTCATCTTTTCTATCTTTTTTCTCCCTCTTTATTTTCCTCTCTTTTCCTGACTGCAGAAAACCACCAGAAGAAAGGCACAGGGAGGCAAAAGAGGACCATCAATGTTTTCTATGAAAAAATGGGTTTTAAGCACTCCAAAAGAAGCACGTGTTAGTCTTTTCACTCTAAGGAGTTCTCTCTTCCTGCTGCCTGCCTATCCAACTACTGACTGATATTTATCTGATTTGCATTCAAGGCAAAGGTTATGTTGAGATAATCCACTGTACATTCAATTGCTTGTATTTCATCAATCCTTTCACTGCTGTATAAGCTTCAGCTATTCTCTCGTTTCATTTCTCCATTCTCTAACTTCTGTCCTAATCTCTTTAATCTCTGTAAGCACAGAAGCCTTTTTTTGCACTTCTGATCATTTTTGTTCTCCTTTTCTGGACATGGGAAAAACTGCGTGAGCATACAGATTAGGTTTGATTACTCTCACATAACAGGTAGCAGCACATTAGCATTAAATGATGAAACTTGGTCACTAAAACCAAACCCTTCCCTTTCCTCTTGAGTTTCAAAGGGCTACATCCAACTCCTAGCAGTTTGACAGCAGCAACAGAGCCACTGTGCTGTTCTGCTTCTGATTTCCATTTAGACCATGCACTTCCTACTGGATTACTCAAATTTCTTTTAAGCCAGGCAAAAAAGTCAAAAACTGTAAGAAACATTTTTCCTCTGGACTGCTTTGTACCAGCAAAAATATGCATTTTTTTCAAACCATGTTGAAGAAAGATTACTGGGAAGGCAGCAGTGCAAGACCATCAGGGTTATCTGGACTGCGTTACTCTGCCCAGCCTACGGCACCTGATGTTGCACAAGCTCTGCACTGATCTTCTCAGTAGATATGAGATCAGAGGGAAGAAAGAGGCAGCTTTTGATATTTTAATCACAAAATGCAGTGGCCAGTCAGTGCCCCTAACATGGAGAAGAGGACACTGTTTGGATCACTCCAGACTTTAAGGTCAGATGCCCAAAGATAGTTTTGGCTAATTCATTTCCTACCATTTATACTTAGCCTACATAATTCTTGCCCAGGGCAAAGGCATTTTAATGCAGATATCCTTGTGGCTTTATAATCTTCTAAGAGCAAGAGAAGTTTGGTCAGTCTCTAGGGACATCAGTGCTAGTAAGCTGAGGACACACAGCTCTGCACCCTCCTGAGCAGACACATAGTTCTGGTTCTTGTGACATCTGGGAGAGACAAACACTTAATGGGCCCTTATAGCTCTCAATTCTGTAAAATGTCAGGGGGCAAAATTAGGTCTCTTTTCTCCACCCCCCTTTCCACCTTTTCCACTACTCTTTTCAGGTCTGGAACCAGCCCTGTTTCCATATGGAAACACTAAGGAGAGGGTTAGAAAGTAAAACCTGCCCTTCAGGCAGAGGCAGGCACTTGCCTTCACTTGGTGCTCTAAATACTCTTGGACTTCCTAGCTCAGGTCATTCCTTTTCCAGAAAGACAGCACCTGAACAAGGTGCTATACCCCAACTGCTCACCTGGAGCACGCCCGGCTTCTCAGCTGAAATGGGGGAAGATATTTGGGCTGCCTGGCCTTCGCGCCACCCACGAGGATGGACTCCAGATTACTGCTGCCTGGAAACACGTGTCTCTCCCACACTGAGCAGAGACCAGAATCCAGGTTTGCCTGATTCCCACCAAGCTGAAAAATCACTCCCACCCTCTGTGGCCACACTCCAACAGCAGATGTTACTGAAGACACAGGTTGGGGGTTTTGTTTCGGGGTTTTTTTGGTTGCTTCTTTTTTTTACCTGATGAAGGGGACATGATATGGTCGTACAAAGATGAAAAGACAAACACCAACAAGCTGTGCTGATGTCAGCTGAATGTAGCGATGAGTCCTGGAAATAGCTTTTTGAAGCTGCTCTCCCCACATTTTTCTATTTGTTGTACTGGAACAAACATAAAATCATTTAATGGAATCAAAACAAACCACATACAGTCAATAAAATGAGCAGATTAACTGTGCCTTAGGTTTACAGACGTCCCATTAGGCTGTAGAACTGCAAGTGCTGCAGGATGCATGGCAGAGAAAGATAATAGCTCCTTGTGAGCCAGCCCAGAGTTAGCAGGGTCAGTGAGCCCAGGCACACCACACAAATACAGCTATCCTGCTTCTGGACATGAGAGGGATTTTGTCTACTATGCTTAAAAAGATCCATCCTCACATGACTTTTGATACCTCTACTCACTGGGGATAACTGGAAGCTGACTGTAGCAACCATAATCATAAAAACCATGTTAGTAACCATAACCAAAAATCCATGTTAATCTCACAATTTGTAAGATTTCTTGTGCTCACAGTGAAGAGATCTTCTCCAGATCTTCTCTGGCTGGGAGATGACTGGCTACCCACAGCTGTTGGCTGTTCTTAGCTGAAAGTTTGTGGGTGGGTGCATACACCTCCGCTTCTGCAGACCTAGCTTTTTCTTATCTTCAAAGTCAACTGATACATGCAGATACACCACCAGCCCAGCAGCCATGCTAAGCACTGCTGTCACTTGTCATTTCCAGAACAGACAACTAACCGGTCAGCCTCGTGAATCAGCATTGGACACATTATTATTCAGATTCAAAAGGACAAGTATACACAACAATCTATTGTACACGCTGATGTGCCAAGCTCCGGCTTTGCCTTTAACTCCTTCTCTAGCCACGATTTTCACAAATACAATTAGCCACAGAGACATTTCGTTCATTTTAGAATTCCCACATGAATGCCAGTTATGTTTGTAGTCACTGAGCACATTTTTCCAACATCAGACAGGGGTTTAAGGACAAGCATTAAATCAATGTCAACCATCAGAATTCTTCTCTGCCAACATAAAACCTTAAGAGACTTAGGAAACACAGTGTATTCTACTGTACAGAAGTTCTACTGTACAGCACTTTCAATACCATCCCAGTGCCATTTGTTCACGGCAAACATATTTCCAGCTATGATTACAAGCAACAGACTTGGAAGAAAGTCTTCTACACATCTGACCATAAAAGAGAACAACTCTGGAGGCTTTCGTTTGGCTGGTTCCTTTGGGGGAGAGGGTGCTCATTTTGGGTTGGTTTTTTTTGAGTTGTTGGTTGGGGGTTTTTATGGTATTTTGGTGGGGTTTTTTAACCTACCTGGCATTCACAATATTCCCTGCATTTAATTCAACCATCTCTTCAAATCCCACTGCAAATATGTCAGGAGGGCAGTTCTCATCATCTGTTGGCAAGACAGAAAAGTCATAAAAGAGTTACTATTTTGTTGTTTCTTCTAATGACTACTTTTCTTATTTCTGTCAGAGATCATTCCTGTAGTTCTATTTTGTGTATCCCCTGCCAAGCTATACATATTCATAGTTCCTTTAATCTAATCTCACAAAACAACCCCTGCAGTTCCTCTGAAATTTTTTCCTGCTTTTCTCCCACCAGTTGGTCTCCATCTCTCTTGCAGGAAGCAGTTCAGAACAGAGCATTATATTGTAGCAATGTTAAGATGAGAAAATATTCGATGTTCTCTCTCCCTCACCCCACTCATCACTAAAGCCACAACATCTCACTACCCACCATCTTTCACCCACTTGTCATTTTACTCAACATGCTTTTCCTTTTCTTTTTTGATACTGATTCCTGTGTAACTGAACTTATTGTCCACACACCAGTATGTCACTTCCATCTCAATACCTTTAGTAAATTTATCTAATAGTTTAATGAAACCTTCAAGTTTCTTCTTATCTTCTTTCTTCCCAGTCCTTCTTAGATCACCCACACTCAAGGTTAGGTTAGGTCACTCTGGAGCACAGTGAACATCCCTTCCCTGACCCAGGCCTGTGGATATTACCCTGGTAAAACACCAAAGATCAAATGCTCTCATATAATAGTGCGAAGCATATCTGTTGGCCCATCAGGTCTGTCCATTGCCTAAAGGGATTTTCTTTTTTTTTTTTTTTTTTTTAAAAAAAAATGGCCAAGGTAACTGACATAATTCAACATGAAGACATAAATAGTAGACAACTACAGGAACCTAAATCAGATCTGCCTCAGAAAATAAGAACAGAAAGAAAAGTAAAATATGCAGCAACTGTCTGTAGACAAAAGGGTGACTAGCATATGACAGCTAGCCTCCTTTTCTAGCTTAACATGACACACACTGTCACATGTGTATTTCCCATTAATAATTTTGGACATTTGCCTTTGAATGTGTGCCCACTTTTGTAAGCACTGCACTGACATTACCACAAACAAAGACATTTGCATGGTCATACCCTAGCTCTGCACATAATTCAGCTCTCTTCCAGAAGCTGCTAGACCTATCATGTTATGGTTGCTTGTACCCTGTAGTCCTGCTCCTCCAGTTCTCTCAGGGGAAGGCCTGGCAAGGCTAGCACATGACAGGTGCTCAACAAATTTTAATATTATGCCCATGGTCATGTGTTAGCACATCTAAACTGTTCCTGAAACAGACTGGACCAATCACTTACCTAAGCTGCTCAGAGTACTGTGGTCTGCACCTAATCACGTATCCATGCACTCAAGCACTAAGGGTTCAAACAAGACACCTTTTATAAATAGCCAAGGATTTGAGGAATGAATCGCTGAGCTTCAAGGTTAGGCACAGGACTATCCCTGCAATGCCTGCAGGAAGCTAAATGTTCTACTGTACCAATGAAAGCACAGATTTTGCCATAGTTTTGCAACCACTCAATTTTTAAATGACAGAACATTCACTTTTCATTTTCCTTAATAAAATCTGTAAATCAATTACAATACCTGACCTTGTTCTGTAAATAGAACAAGAAATTCCGCAGCCAATTTAAGGAAGCCATAAGCACAAGAGCTTTCTATACTGCTAAAAAAAAGAAAATTGCCTTCAACAAAATAAATCTCTTTTGTCTGCAGGCTTCGATAGTAACATTTCCAGACAATCTCAGAGTCCAGATAGTACAGATATGTTTAGCTCCAGATAAAGGCCAAGGAGACATTCTGAGGGCACCTAAGCATGTAGCTCCTGCTCACAATGAAGAGCAAAGAACAGAGATACAGAAGAAAATGAAATATGGGATGCAGAATAGGCAGATACAGCCCATAATGGCATGAAAGAGACCTCTGAGTTCTGACCTGCTGAAGGTTCAAAGCAGTCATGTGGTTTAGACTCAGGAGTTGGTCTATCAGGAGCCCTTCACACACCATTCCACTGCTGCAGGGACACAGCACAAGTCTACATGGAGCTGACTACACTCCTAAGAACTGACAGAAAATGCCCTCCAAGATACACTGCCTTTGAAAAGAACAGCTGATCAAATCTTGCATCCCAAATCACTGTCTCTAGAGATGCCAGCAAATATTGCATACACATTTTGACTGTGAAGTCTTACCCTGAAATTCAGAAACTCCAGAGAGCTTGGGAGAATCCAGCAGCCAGTCTGTCAGCTCACTGGTACCGAGGATGTTGCTTCGAAACTGCTTCCCCCCATTCACGTTCCAGGTCCCCGTGGCAACACGAACACGCTTAAAGCTTGTGAATTCAAACTGACGCTCTGACATGGCCTTCAAAATACTTGGAGTTACTGACAGAGGAGGGGAGAGAGAAAGAAGGTGCATAAGAAAAGAATGTGCTGTAAAAGAACAGAAAGCATACAGACAGCAGCGACACAGTCACTGTGAAATAATGACATTACCCCAGCCGCAACAACACAAAAGCTAAGGAATAACTCCAATGGCAATAACTACAAGGTAACTGGGGCTGGCATCAGCAATTTCTCTTTCAGAAACCGGGAACCCTTTGAAAGCTTGTGAAGGGCTGGTCACTCACTTTCAGCGTATGTTTTCCTGCACTTCTTCAAGTAATAAGCAAATAAATTATTTTTCCCCCTTTAATCTTCCCAGTTTAGCCTACAGCAATCCAGCATGTCACAAGTTATGACTTAAATTGAAGCCCTAAGAAATTTAGGGTGTGGAGGGAAAGGTGGAGAGCAGCAGACGTGTATCTCACATCAGTCCAAATCTAGCGCTGTAGTGGCTCTCTAGCCTGGTCAGAACTCCTCACAGGGAACTGCTATATTCACTTAATTTTGATGAGTATAGAAAATTAGCAGTGTGGTTTTTTTGTGTGAGCAACTGAGGTAACCTTAATCTTTACTATCTGATTTGCATTGGCAGTCAGGCATAGAGAAGCTATCTGGATTTTCCTTGTGGTCCGCATCAGGGAACAGCCCCAGGATTGAAGTGGCACTGAATGGTTCAAGTCTATCCTATTAAAATCCAGTAGTTCTCTGGAGCAAACTGACCATGTGATATTGCTTGTGGGTGCAATTATCCTGTATTTTGCACACAAGTATCTCCTCAGAGAGAGCTAAGTTGGTTTACTCTAGATGGGTGCAAACAAATGTGTATATGTTGTGGACTATCAGGGCCCTGGAGTAAAGCAGGGAATGAAGCAACGTAACAATATAAATGTGCCTTTAAAGATCCAAATGGCTAAAAGCATGTGCAAACTGCAGGCCAAAAACAAGGAGATAAAAACTCTGAGCTGAAGAGACTGTCTCAAGACAAACTCAGACAGGACCAGACTGGGAATATAGCCCTAAAATCCTTCCCTCTGGTCCAACGCCTCTAAACTGTCAGAGGAGATCATCATCAAAGAGCAGACAAACATACTCAGAAGTTCAAAACAAAATATGAGAAATAAGCACAATGGAATTAAAACAGACACAGTTGTGCTATGGTCACTTGAAAACAGTGTTTTAAACAACAGATATGTGCAAAAGTAACTTATTTACTGATTTTTTCAAAAGGGTGTAATCGCTTATGTCTGACAGCTAAAAACAGACACAAAAGTGAAGGATTTACCCAGCAGTGCAGTATGGTCCATAAGCATCTTGCCTTTGTCTGCATATTCCTCACTGAAGAAGTCACCCATTAGCAGCAAGTTGATGGCTTCCTGCTTCACTGCATCAAAGAAATTTGACTGAATGGTGCGAGAGACAGACCGGGCACCATCCTTGAGTTTCCCAACCTACATCAGACAGGAATCATCAGTACAAGTGTCACCAAAGAATAAACTGGACATCTTCCTTTACTTGTGAATTAAACAGTTGTGCCATTTTTCTTTACCTTGTGCTTCCCCTCAAGGGCACGACTACCAGTAAACACTCTGCTCAGATTATGACCGTTGAGAGTCCACATCACTTTGTAGGATTCCACGAAGCGCTCAATTATAGATTTAGAGTTCAACCCAAGGCTCTCTAATTGAGCAAGCAGGATCTGGATTAGGTGCAGAAGGAGAAAAAACAACAACATTGTTCTTAAATGTATTTTTGTTTTTTATCTTCAGTTTAAGTATTCCAGCCAGTACCATTCTGTATCATAGAGCTGGCAAGACAGACTTGTGTAACTGAGGCTTATGCCCTCTGTCCTGTCTTTCCCATGGAACAGACAATGTATGCAGTACAGGCATCCATGAAAGGTCCTCTAACAAACTCACCTCCAGTGCAATGAAGGACTGTACACTATTAGTACGATCCAGGCAGTCCAAACAATTCATTCGAAAAGTCCCTGTCTGCAGACTTTGGTAACCAAACACAACAGGAGAGAGGAAAAAAAGGTATATTTTAAAATAACATCTAATCATGAGTTGATTGAACAAGATCATCAAATGTTCAGACTGAATATACCCACCACATTTTGATGGTACAAGCACATTGTGCACAATGTATGCCATTAACATGTCTAATGACTTGACCATGACTGCAACACTGTACTAGCAAATCCATGCACTGGTAATTTTGCAGATTCCAAACCATGGAGATGCAGTTAAGCCAAATAATCTATTCAGCACCAAGACTACACTTTGCCTCAAAACTGTATTTCAAGATGGTCATTTACACTCGTGGTCCAAACACAGCAAGAAACCTAGGAAGGCCAGGACAGGCAGTGCCTGGCTATGCTGGGACAGAGGGGCAGGGACACTCACCGTGGACTTACATTCTCGCCCTTTGTGAAGATTCCAAAGTCTTCCCAGTGCAACTTCAGCTGAGGCCTCAGTAAGTTTTCCAGTTTCTCAGTTTTCCCACCTTTTGCAAATTGGTGGTAGTCAAAGTTTATCATGGGAGTGTCTGCTGCATGGGAAGAGGCCCATAGCAGTTTCTGTTTAGATGGAGAATGAAAGAAAACAAATCCTGCTCGAGCCACAATGTAAGGATTGATACCAGCGTGCTTTTATCATTACTAAACTTTGACTGTTTATCACATTTTTAATATCAAGAAGTTCATAGGGAATTTTGAAAGGTCAGACATGAAAAAAGCAACTGAACTTCCCTATTTCTTTTCTTTCCAAAAGTAAATTGGATTGTTAGACCCCAATTTTTCTGCAGGGGAACTCAAACTGTAACTGCACAGCATACATGAGAATTGCTGCTGTCTGCAGCTTGGCTAGTGGCAGCCCTGCAGCAGTGGGCTGCTACCTCTGTGCACGAGGGTGTACAGCAACAGTGAAGCTCTGGGCAGGCTCAGGACGGGCCCCTGATGGGAAGGGTGTCCAGAGCTGCTTAAGATAAAAGAGCATAACAGTGCATGAGTGTATTTTTTAACCATTCCTGAAGTGCCAAGACATGGGAAAACAGGGCCCTAGATTTAGGTAGAGGGTGCCTGGGGAGGAAGCAGAAAGAAATTATGTCCCAGGAAAGATATTAAAAAATGTCTGTGGTAAACCACAAAAGTGAAAGAAGAGGCACAAACAGCCTCATTATTTCATCTCCAGTTTCCATGACCTCACATGCATTTCCGTAATCACTACAAATTTCATCAAGGTATCTGTAATAGATATGACAATAATACATCCTGCTCTCCAGGACAAAGCCAGAGAGAACTGTTGCATTAATTCTAACTATGCAAGCCTTTGTCTATTCCCTTCCCTCCTGCACATTCTCATCTCAGGAGACGGATGCTTTTCTCCACTTAGACTGTGACACAAAACTGAACAAACGATTCTTATATTACAATAAAACTGTACATGCCGCAGTTACACCAGTATAATTGTATCAAGTAAGCTATTGATCCTTCCCGGAGAAACAAATTTAAAGGTGTTGCGTGGTGTATGGAGAGAGATGTGCAAAATATATTTCATTACTGTTACAAAAGCCAAAACATTTGGTATCTGCTTTTCTGTTGTCAACACCTCAACTTGCCTTTACAGCTGCTGGCACTAGTAATGCACTTAAGCATGACATTTACCCACTGCCTCAGTGGAAATCATTGTCAGAGTATTTGTAACTACACTACGGCCCTGCTTTTACTTTAAACATAATTAGATCTATTATAGGGGATGCTTATGAGAGGAACAGCATTACTGGGAACAGTATTGATTTTTGGTCTGGTAACAGCTGATTCAGGTAACAGCTGAAGGTAAGCTGGTCATTTACAATTTTTCATTTGTTCCTGTTGAATAAATGAATGGTAGAGGTGACATTATGATCAAGGAAACCCAGCAGCAGTAACTACAAGAATATTTTGAACCAACTCTGATAAGAATTATTAAGACTGCAGCAAGAATTGGGAGAAGAGGAAGGAATACAAGCAAAGGAAGATGGAGAAACAAAGAAATAAGTTAATGACAGAAGAGGAGAAAAGTTTTCATTCCTAACCATTCCCCTATTAATTACTTTATTTTTAATTCAAGTCTTTTAAAAAATCAAAGTAAAAATTAACTACATATTCTTTCCAAGCATCCATTTATTAAAACACAAAGGTAAAGAAAAAACCAAGAGGTGGTTGTTTTGAATGGGTACAAAACTTCAGTTTCCAGTACTGTCCATCTAAATTCTTTCAACTTACAGAGTGCTTTCATAATTTATTTATTTTTTTATACAGGGATAAAGTTTAACAATTTAAACAAAACAGGTCTTTATTTAAATCAAATGAACAAATGCAAGGTCTTTATTCTAGAGATGCCTTGTTTCTCACTTCATTTCTGGTTGTATGATACTGGCCAGAACACGGTCTTCAAGAACGTGAAAGTTTGATAAATTATCTATATTCACAAGAAATGTCAGATTTGTATCCTCATACATCATTTGAGCATTTCAAAAGTGATTGTATCTTACCCTTAAATTTCAATGTTTTTGCAAAATAAACTATAAAAACTATTTTAAAGATAGGGAAACCAAGAGATTTTAGAGGCTTAGCTGTGTCATGCAGAAATTCAGTAAGAAGCTGAAAACAGAAGCTAGGACCAGACTTCGCTTCTGTATCTTCCTTATTGCCTTGCAAGCTTTAGTCACGATCACTTTCTTTGGCCGTATTCTGTACAGGGGGAGACTTTCACTTTGTCACTTTCCGCTGGAGAAGCTGACAGACCTCTCCAACTCTTTTGGAGGAGAAGGAAATGGTCACACAGAAAAACTGCCAAAAAACTCAAGACACTCTTTGTCTTGAGTACATTACTCCAACAGAGAGGGAAACAAATCAAAAACTCTTACTTAACTACAATTTTCATTTTGCTTAATTTCACACAGTAAACATTTTAACTCAGAACTGCTGTATTATTCTTTACCAATGATAAATACATAACACTTACTAGAGGTGTGTACTTAAGCCATTCTTCATATTATTCTTAGGAAGATAAAACTCCAAAGTATCTGTGTTGGATTTCTAAAGCAACAGGCACTTAGGAGGCAGACTTCCATCAACCTCCAGTCAGATTCAGGCAGCTACTGCACTGCCGCAAATCCCACTCAGTGCCAATCTGTGGCTTCAAGTACACTTTAGCTTTACAAATCTGGCCATAAGAACACTGCACTAGAACTCAGCGCAGCTTTATTTCTACAATGTCTGACATCCTTGCTTTCAGGTATTAGTTGTGCCTAGGGACATTTAGGGGCCAGGAAAACTTCTCTTCATACACCAGACTGTCATCTGGTGCTCAGGCAGCCAATTCCCATCGCAATCAGTGCAAGATAGCTATTTCCCACTACAATCAGAGCAAGACAGCTTGCTTATGCTCAGTAAGCCAGGGTCAGTGCCTGGCCCCCAAGCAGTTCTGGCAATCCCATGAGGCACCTGACTGCATTGGCAACTACATACTATGACAAAGCTGACCACGATTCATTTTTGCAAATGTGAACTACTCTTAAGAGAGTTAGGGCATAAATGTGTGAAGAAATAAGCAGGAAGGCAGTGCCGGAAATTAAGCCATGAGACTATGAAGCACCGTTCTCTCAGTAAGTAACATCTAGTAAAGATATAACATCATTTCTTTAGATATACTATTCATCACCTACTGGGCCAGAAGGGAAACATAAGAACATGGAGGCTCAGGGGAAATCAGCAGTCAAAAAAAAATAATACTGCTTTTACCTTAAAAGCTCTGTCGAGCACCTCCTCCCCTCCTCTGCTTCCCAACAGGTTAACGATCACTTGTTTTCCATACTGGTCTTTCAGAAGCGTCATATGCCTACAGCAAAAGTAACCATAATAGGTACTAAACAAAACCATGTTATGTTGCCTACTACCTTTTTCAAAATACAGAAGTAGAGATCATTGTTTTTTCCATCCAGCAGAAAGTTTCAGCCACAGCAGCTACAGACATCTTCCTCAGATTCCTTGCAATCAATTATTAAAGTACAAATGGTGAAAGTACGCAATGAATGGGCACAGTATTTTGTACTGAACTTAAAGAAATAAGCATCTTAAGAAACAGGCCCCAGATCTTTTATGTCACTGTTAGCTTTGATAATGCCCTTCGTATGCTCCCACTTCTTGGACCTCAGTCTGGGAGCTACATAGGAAAGACCGGAAGAGAGGAAAACATATTACACTTCAACAGGAATTGCCCAGCACCTTGCAGGGCTGAGCCTACAAAAAGTCAGCAGCAGCAATGAGGCCTAGGACTCCAGTGCCAAGGCCAGAGTGGGACAAACACACATCACAGGCGACAGGGTTCAAACACCTCTGAGGTACTGCAACACTGAGACATTCACTCTCAATTAAGTTAAGCAGGAGGGTTAGTAACCATAAGAACTGCTGTGCTGGATCAGACCAAAGATCCTTTTAGCCAAGTGGCCTGGCGCAGATTCTTCAGGAAAAACACAAAATAGGACAAGTATAAAGTGGGGGGGTTTTTTTGGCATATATCCCCAACTTCTCAAATCCTGACATTTAGGGACTCTCAAGTCAAGAGCAGACTTGCAGAGGCACCCATTCTCTCCTCAATACATTTGTTTCAAGTGGGCATGCATCTGCTACAGGAGCTGTGCTGGCTCATCAAGAAACAATTAGATCTTAAAGCCATCTTCCATCATGTACTAACAACACTGTAGTAGTACTTAAGAGAAAGCTAGATAGACATAGACAAGAAAAATAAAATAAACACTCGCACAAATGAAAAGCTATCACATGCTGCAAAGCAACATGCAATGGCAAGCATCAGAAAAACAGCAAGTACACACCTTCTGGCATGCATCTTTAAATCCTATAACCAGAAATAAGTCACACAGAAAACCATGGAAGAGGAGAAAACAAAGAAAAAGTTATCAGCATGGCCTTCAAGAAACACGGCTAAATATCTTTTCTGGTGTTATTTATGTTTCTGATTCTGCAACCAGTTCTCTGTATGCCAACTCTTTCCATACATTTGCACCCCTCTGATCCCAGCATCAAGATGCTACTTCTCTGCCAATGTAGCTTCCTTACAACAAAACTGCTGAAGCTCAAGTCACCTGTTGAATACTGTAAGCAGAGCTCCCCGAGGATTTCTAAGGGAGAGGGGACGAAAAAGATCCACTAATAATATTAGCACTTGCTTCTCTGTGCCTTCTCAACACATTAACCTATCAGATGGTTAAATGCAACATGCTAATCCACTCTAACACACTTAGAAAAGCTGTAGCAGGTTGTTAATTTCAGTGCCTTTTTCCATATAAACAGTCACTTCTTCCTTGCCCATTTTCAAAGGACTGTCTTTTGCAGATCTGTAAGCAGAGATCCCTAACTTCACCTAACCTAAAGGCTTTACTGTGCACAAGGGAAAGAAAGAATAGTGCAAGTTGATCCTCATGTTCATGTTTCTTGCAAGAAAGCTATTCACCAGTTGCACCAGGGGCAGAGAGAAAAGGTTCTCTGAGCTAAATGGTCTTACTGACTTGTTTCTTGCTGAGGTACTCTCAGTTTCTTGGGCAGCACAAGAGGATGCGGAGTTACTGTTTTCTTCTTATATAAACTCTCTCTGCTGTGGAATGCAAACCTCTAAGATGGAGCTTCAGGGATACTGGCAGGGCAAGTTATCACGGCATCAGATGACCACAAGACCATGAGTCTCAAAGGCATTTGAATTCAGTAGGATTTAAGAGCCTTAAAAGGCTGGGAGAATGTAGGCTAAGACCATTCGGAGCAGGGACTGCTGTGGTGCATAGTCCCTTTAAATTCTAATCCCTGTTTGGGGTCTTCAGTTTTGCAAAACTGTTAACAGTCATTAATATCATGTTTGCTAACAGTTGCAGTAAATGAAATCAAGAAATTAAGAGGCCTTGCTCAAAATCAACATAAACTCTGATTTACCAAAGCCAAATCAAAACAGAAATTAATCACGTGAGCTGGCACTTACAGGTTGAAAATTTCCCACAGGCCAAATTCTTCATGTCCTTTTCAGGCAAATGTTCCCACTGATATCCATGGGAGCTTGCCCTTAAAGGACAGCACTTCATAGTCAGACATTCAAAAGAATCAAGCTAATGCATGGCTTTTTTTACAGTTTCCAGCTGGCAAGCAGAGTCTTAATGGTTTAAAAAGGTTTACAAGCCAGTCTTTGGGTAAAGTAGAAAAGCATCAGCATAATAGCATCATACAACACTGATCATAGAATAAGATACTGTTATTTCTGTATAGCAGCAAAACAATGAGGAGAAAAACAAATCCAGAATGGAGTGGAAGCAGTGTTTACTTTTAAACTACCTGGGTTGCAGTGGTAAAGAACACATGTTCTGTGTACCTTAAGTGTAAATTCACATTTGTTGGCTCACAAAGGGTTACACATACCTTCCTTTTGCATATCACTCAGTATTTCTTAGCTTTTACAGAAACAAGCCAGGAGACCAAATTAATTCAACTACCATTGAAAACAGAAAGGAAAATGCAAAAAAAAAAAAAAAAAGTGAATAAATTAAGTAAACCCACTTAATAAGCCACACCGCCTGGGGGACTGGCCATGTCATCTGAGAGATATTTCACTAACTAAGATGTTTCACATCTCTCAGGATTTACTAGGAAGGCATAAAGTTGTGGAATCTTGGTTAAATGCCAGGCTACTGTGCTACTGCCAAAGTGGAATGAAGCTTACCTGTCAAAGGCAGGAGCATTAGCTTCCAGACCTCTGCTAAGCCTTAGATGATGAGAACCCACCTAAAATAAAATATTGGAAGGAAAAGAAAGAAAGAAATAACTTCTTAAACTGCTAAGAGTCCTAAATCACTAGAGGTCTCCCTTTTTCCTTCAGAGAAAAACATCTCTTTAACAGCACCAGATACCTCGTAACAGACTCCACACACCCACACACATAATATCCTTAATACAAAAGCCACGGCTTTTATTAGACGATAACATTTACAATTACAAGTGAAAACACTATTATCATTAAGCAAAGGGATACCCACACATCTTTTTATGGCCAAACAAATCACATTCCTTTGCCAGCTTCCTCTAGCAAATAGCCCACACTGTCACACACAAGTATGCTGTGTGCCCAGCATTCTTCCTGCCCTTCTCTTGGCAGAAAAGGCTGCAGTTACGCCAGTTCCGTGGGTTGTGTGTCCTGAGTTCTTTCATCTTTCATTATTTACAGAAACTAAAAAGCATCAGAACAGTCCTTTGAAACTATGAAGGATGAAACCCTGTGCCATCAGTCTAATGGGACTTTTAATATGGATGTCAACAACAGTAGCCTCAAGCTCCTTCTGAACACAGCTACTGCTATTACAGTACGCAGAAGGCTTCTCTCCTCTCCAAAAACTACACTGCTTATTATTTATAGGATCATGCATTGTTTCCTGTGCTTCATCATCGTCCCTTGTTTTTCATGAGGTTGGTTTCTGAAATGCTGTCTAACACCAGTGCCAGCACACTCACATCCAAGGAATAAGAGTTATGAGTATTCACCAACATAAATGAAAGATGCATAATCTAATCCAGATTAGGCAAAAAAAAAAAGCAGACTGTGTCCCTACTAAAACGTTGAAAATTCTGTTTAACCAGAGATGCTACCCACCAGCCAAAAATACTTGAGGAAAAGGTCTATGGCTTCATAACATACAGAACTACAGTGCTGGATGCAGCTACGCCATGGGCAGGACACATGCACAACCATATGGGCAGACCTGCTTTATAAAAAGAAGCAAGTATTGCACTGGATGATGTTAACAGACAACAATACAGATCCTTTAGTCATCTTCCTTTTAGGCTAAATCCAGTAGTTCTGAATGGTACCTACGTGCTAGATTTAAGGACTAAAAAAAGCAGCAAATAATCTTTAAAGAATCTAAAAAAGCAGTTATGTATTGTCTCTACAAACATGTATGCATATATGTGCATACTCATTCCAGTTGCTTATCCCTTAATTCAGAAAATGCAAAGAGTGCTACAGTGATTCTTATTTAAGCTTGTAACTGTATATAAACTGTAAGTCACAGGCCATATGTAACCTGCTAGGCTTGATGCAATAATCTCCTGATGAAACCCTACATCTCTGCCTTGCAGAAGATCAGATTAGGTCACCACCACCCTTTTGACTGAAATCTAGCAAACACACCATCCAGACATTATACTTTGTTTGAAGGTAACACGTTCCTATAGAGCTCCTGGTATCCCTACATACTCCATTTTCATTGTGGAAGTCAGTATCATCAAGCCAACTGGGCATTTCAGAAGGAACAGCTATTCCAAATCAAATCAAAAACGTTACAAAGATGTTGCTGTAAGCTTCAGCTTAGGACACAGTCCCTTACAAATAGTTCCCTGTAGAGGCATGTAAACACATGAAAATGTTAAACTTCAGTTAACTATAGCCATTTGTCTGGTTTAGTTCTGTTTATCTAAACATGCAAAACTTCCTGTAAGGTAAACCTAAAATGAAAGAGCTCAGCATTTTCATGGAATGAGCTTTGCAGCTCATTAAAAAAAAAAAACCCTCAACAAATTTTATGTAACTTCTAAATTATAAGTAGCAAGAGAGATAAGTGAGGTAGACTTTTTGATTATTAGTTTACCTGAAGCCCTGGTTGCTCCCAAAACAGCGGAACAGAACCTCTGATCTGCACAAAGGAAGAGACGTCATCATCCAAGTAAATTGTCTGCAAAAATAAAATAAAGGGAAGGAGTTCTCCAGTTAGATCTATCAGCCTGTGACCCCTTCATCAGGTGACAGGTTAAGACACTGAACTCAAAGGGTAAAAAAGTAAACAGCGTACCTCACTGTATCCACTTACTGCTCAGGCACTTTTCCGTAGTCTCACAGGCAATGGAACAAAGCACAACGTATTTGCTTTCATGTCATCTTAGCAGATTCAATTCACTACTCACCAGAAATGAGAAAATTTAAAACACCACCACTGGCAAGAAGGAAGGAATCTTTCATCCACAATGAAGATGGATTTGATCTGGTGGAGACACTCAGGAAGACCAGCCATATACTCTCCCTCTGTCTCTCTCACAAAATTTAACTGTGCAAAATGTCATTGCTCCTTGTGACTGATGATGGGTAATGTCAGGTGTAGGATAAGCTTACCTCTTGCTTTATTTACTATTTCTTATTTCACTGCATGTTATGCCTTGTCAGCATCCAAATAAATCTCAGTGAAACCAGCAGTTTCGCCACTCCCACTCCGAGATACAGCGAACAGCACACGATCTGTTTCTTTTCCAGGAGGCTTATAGCAAGAGGCTCTGAACTCCCCACTTCCTTCCCCAACCAGACCTCAAATTCTCCCTTCGTATTTGTTCACTGCTGACAAGCTGATTTTGAGTCAAAACTATGCAGAGTACAAAGACTGATTTCCCCCTTTGCCTTCCCCCTCCACCAGCCCCCAAGCAAAGTGTTACATTATATGTTAACTTAGCACAAAAGGTACTATCTTCAGATTCAGTATGACCACAGAGCAACTGTGCAAAGCCCGGCTCACTCCCCTGGCCTATACTTAGCAGTGGAATCCTGGCTGTTTTCCATGGGGGATACATGATACACATCTCTGTTATCTCATGCATGACAATGAGTCTTCTGCAGCCCTGTGGAGGAATGGTATCCATACCGATCATCCAGGTAGCTGCTTCTCTAACTGCATCATATCATTTAGCACAACTGCTGCCAGCTGGCTAGTAGCTCCCAAAAGAGAAAAGAACATGATAATATGTTACTATACAGCCTTAATGTGGTTTGTGCTTTTGGATTTGCCACTAGATGTGCTGGATGGCAGAGGGAAAGTGCCTTCATTTACCTTAACCGCTCATCTTTGTAATCACTACCAATGTAGAATTTTTAGAGCTACACATGTGAAAAGATGAAGTATAGCTACACCAGAGAGGTGGGTATTTAAATATTCTGCCACCAGTTTCATCTAACTGATCTTTACAATATTTTCACAGAGAACTTATAACTATCACCATTTCACAAAGATGAAAGATGTAAGTGGCTTCATCAGGGACACAATGTCAGTAGTGTAAAACTGTATGTTTCAAAGTTTTTAGCCTCACACCAATGAATTAAGAACCTTCTCTGTTGCATCTCATCCTAGCACAACCCCCTGCAAGAGAGGGGGTTGCTCAGAGAAGCTTTCTTGTGAGGCCTGCCTCACAGCTTGAGAAATGTGGCTCTAAACCACTCTCTCCTAGTAAAGTTTTCTAATCATTGCCCACACCTTGAGTGCAGGAGCTAATTACCACTGCAACACAGAGACGCACCTGTCTTTGCACTTCTGTGCTCAGAAGAGTTTGCCCTGCAGTTGGCCTGCAGGAGGAGCAAGCAGGCCCACCTTCTTCCTCTTTATCATATCCTCCCTCAGACAGGTCGTACTGCGATGAGTCAGTGAGTACTAAACACTGAATCATCTTTTCACTCACAGTGACGGACGGTGTAGCTCCACTGATAGCCCCAGCATTATCCTGACTCATATTAAATAAGGATCAGGTCCTGAATCTATGCAAAAAAGAGTCAGGACTGCCTCACTTCAAAATTTGACATGAATCATCACCTTTGTGATGCGATGAGTTGTAATGAAACATCTAATGATAACGATTACAGACAAAGATTCATATGAACTACACTTTGGCCACTCAAGCAGCTTGCTACAGAGGATCAGTTTTCTTTACCATCTTCTGGAACATCCTGTTTCCATAACTAACTGAAAAATCGACAGCTCAAGTATGTCTTCGACCAGCTCTTTTAAAAAAGTCCCAGCTGCAAATTCTCTAGACCCACTGATTAAAAGATTATGATGATGATGATTATAATAATAATAATAATAAAAGAATTTAACACCTGCAGTTTAACATCTTCCTGAGCTACAGTTTAAGTGGAAAGTATTTCATCACAGTTACAGACCATGAATATATAACCTGCCTTCTTTATGCCAAAACCAGAAGAAAAATACTGACCAAACATTTCTGCCTTTCTGCATTAACAGATGCTCATATTTCCACTTATTAGTGATTCAACACTGTAAGAGTTAACAGATGTTTCTTATTACTACCACTCACATTTTCTGTTCACTGGTTTTCACCCATTACTACTTCTAACAGTTTTCTGCTCTACTAAGCTGTCCATTTGGAGAATTGAACAACAACAAAAAAAATTCAAACTATTTGGGGATCATTCCTGTGATCTAAGCAGGATGCCCACACCCTGATTTGATGGGCTGGGGACATCATCTGTCAGGATGAGGTCTAAACAGAACTCCCCTATGATGATAGGGCATTTTAAAGAAGCTGACATTTTTATGCACATTGCCATGTAGCTTTTAGAAATTCACATGAGGTTTTTGAACTGGGAGCATGGCCTCTCTAACATAGTCATTCACAAGAAAGTTCTCCACGTTAGCACATTATATTTTTTTTCAGTCATTCACAAGAAAGTTCTCCACGTTAGCACATTATATTTTTTTTTAGTCATTCACAAGAAAGTTCTCCACGTTAGCACATTGTATTATTTTTTTCACTTACAGGGCTCAGCATTCTATTCTCTGGAGCAATTCTGTGGTCTTTCACAATCCTCTCACCTCATTCTCGTGACCCAGATGAATCCAAAATTATTTTCTTCCAAGCTGCCAGTGAGTTGGAAAAAGACCTAGTATTTTTTAATGACCGAGAGAATAACATCCTTTTCTGCCAGTCATTCCTTCCTAAACAGACTGTAACCATTTCATTGAGCATTACAACTGTGTAAATCTTCCCTGATTTTCAGCAATACCCACTATCCTTCATTCACCACTCCAAGGAACATTACCCCTGATCTTGACATCACCTTCTACTATGTATGCCCCTTGGAATTACAATAATAGTGGCAACAGCCTTCCTACCAGCAGACTTGTTAAGCAAGAGGGTTAAAGACTGAGACTAAGATGACTTTCCAGTTCAGGAATGGACATAATCTTAAACAACCATATATACTATAAGAAACCTCATTTGTTAAAATCTTAAATAGGCACTGATAATACATCCAGGTTAAAATAACAATCATAAATAAAAGATTCCAACTTTATTGCTTATGCAATTCCAGCATTTATGCATGGATAGGTACAGAATTTCTTTTCTCATATTCTTTCAAGCCTTGATGATTTTTTATTCACAATATCATGTTTTCTACAAGGGCATATCTATCACATTTTTCTGTCATTCTAGTTTTGACTTTATTACCCTGTCCTCTAGTGAATCCATTTCTCCTATTCTAATGCACTACATGAAAGATGAACAGTTCTTTAAGAAAAATAAACAGCACTTTGTTTCCAGAATTTTCCTGTCCTCTGTTTCCCTTAACTCATGGACAAGAAATACATCCCAGACCACACAGGTTTTCCTCTAAAAGTTCAATAACAATCAATTACATTTTGGACAACGCTTTGTCATTAGGGTTGATACATACCGCTAAATCTTTTTCTTTGGGCTTCATAAAACTATTGTGGAGCCCTATCTTTTGCCTTAGATCCAAAATGACAGCAAGTTGTTACCTACTTGCCCCAGGGAGAATGTTCATTCCTATCAAATCCTCAGAACACTCAAGGACTACTTCATTCATCTCAAAGGGTCTGGCCCATAGAACAATCCAATTCAGTCAGTGGGACAGATTTTCAGACATGTTTCCTGCAGACAACACAACAGCAACTGGATACTTAACCCACGTGGAGGACCTCTTTGCCTTGATAATAGATTGCTTGTCCTCTGACCTCTGGTGTGAGAATTTGCCATGTTTCTCTTTCGACTTCTGCTGTCTTAAACTCTTTGTGGTCTCTTTTTGTGGTCTCTTTCTCAGATTCCAAGATCAAGGGTGACAGTGCTGACAGTTCAAGAGAACATTTCTCAATCTTTCTCTTCCACTGCATAGGGCCAGACCTTGCCCCTGTGATCCAAGGACCTTTCCTGGTAACACAAGCTTCATGCATAGGTACTGCTAGTAAGCTTCTGAGCCAAGAAGCAAACTGGTACTGCTTCTGAGCAAGAAGCAAACATCTACAACAACCAGCTGGTGTTCTAATCCCAGCGTGCTGTTCCCATTCATTGCTTGGAATAATTTATTCACTAATCTCCATCACTCAGCTTCATTAGAAGGAAGTAATTATCCAGTCACAACTTCAAATGGCAAAATTCATTAGAGACTCAAGGGGCACAGAGACACAGTCCATAATGAAATGGATACTCACATGGCTTGTTCTGGGATCCCCAGCTCTGCCATGCAACCTACAAAGAGCATGGATAACAGATGGCCTAAACACACCTCTCTGTGAGTCCCTTTAACTCAGACCATGGGATCCAAGGATATACTTGCCAAAATAATCCTCTTTGCCCCGCCTGGGACCATACTAGAACTTGATCCAGAAAATAAATTAACCACATGATTACATCCATTCCTCTCCTGGAGAGCTATCCAACATGGCCTAGAAGTTATTGTGAAACAGGGATCATTTTTCTTAATCCATGCCCGACATTTTTTCTTAAACTGGAAGAAAAGGAAGGTTAATCTAAATTCATGGCATTTCCTTTCAATGCCTCATCAAGGTTTCAATTTTCTTTATTGAACAGTTCCATGAAGGGGAAAACAACTGAAACCATTCATTTATCTTCAGTAAATTAGGATTGTTCCCTGTAAGTCACATACTAAGATATTAAGAGTTTAGCATGACTTTCTGGAGGATAACTGGGGGAGGAGCTGAAATGTAAACAGTGACAGGCACGCAAACTAAATGAAGAAAGCACGCTTGTTTCTCAATGCTATCAGCAGAATAGAATTAAAAGAATGTGATACAGTCTCAACTTTAGGGGATTAATAGGAGAGGAAGAAAGGGTGAAGGGAAACATTTAAGGTAACACTGGGAAACAGAGACTGATTTTAAAACTACTTGAGGATTAACTGGAATATGCAAGTAGAAAAGGCTGCCATCCCATTACAAAATACTGGCAGCAAATCTGGAAGTACACGAGAGGGATTTCAAAAAAGCCCTCTTTTCTCTTCCCTTCATACTTTGTTTTTCCTCAAGTGTTTCCTACCATTCTTTCTTCTTTTTTCTTTGTAAAGATGCAAGCCAAATGATCAAGTATCTGAAAGATCTACTAGTAGCTTTTTTTTGAAAAGCAAAAGTGAAGTGAGATATTTAACTTTCCCCCCCTTTTTCTCAAACACTGTGAGTCACAGTAGTTAAGTGAGCCCACAAAAAATGACTCATTGCAGAGCTAAAATGCCACACGGCTAACTCAGTGGGAGACAAAAGCATACCATCTATGCATAAAAGAGCTGCCTGGAGATAAGACTAATTGTTTCTCCCTCTTCTAAAAACAGAAAAATGTTAGAAGTAATTCCTATAAAGGGGGGAAAAGTCCTGGCTTTTCAGAATCCTAGGGTGCTATTTATCCATGAAAGCACATAGCCAGCATGCCATTATACTGTACAGGCTGCAGCAAATGGAAACAAAATGTTATTCAGCCAAGATATTACCTCATAGGCGATTAGTCAGTAGTCTACTATGAAAGTAGGAGAGAGTGTATTCCAGGACTCTTCCTTCCTAATGGTAAGTGGATGCCAGCTTGAACTGGATCTCAGGCATCCCAGTGGTTAGCCCAACTTTGCTTTCTTAGGACATGCAGCTTGGTAAAACTAATTTTTATCACCATTAGCAACAGCAACCTTCTTTTCTCCTTTTAAAACAAAAAAAATCAAACAAAACCACACAATCCTATAAAACTGCAAACCCTTCTTATAATTTTCAACCTACTTGAGCCTTTCACCCTATAACCATTTCACTCTTGCACTCTTGCTTACCCAATTGCAAAACACTCAACAGCCTTCAGTCCTCCCACTTCACGGCTGAATGGGAACAAAGCACAGCAGTTCCTGTGAAGAGCCTGATCCTGCCCCAGCTAAGGGAAGCATTAGCAACCAAGCACTGTTTTGCCACTCACCAGGAGCCAGTCCTCAGGTTTTCTGCTGGGATGCAAAGGCCATCTTATTCTTCATGCTAATCATTTGCAACACAATGTACTCCACGAATATAATTAAATAGAATGAGTTACTTCTGACCCAACTAGTCAGCAGGATAGCAGAAGTATTTCCCATAATTAGTCAACTAAGTGCAGGGCCGCAAATGTGAGACTGGTCTGAAAGCTGACAACTCTAACATTTTCTTTCCTCTGCATTTCAGCAAGAGAACATTCTTCAAATCCTGAGTAACGTACTTTGCACTAACGCTCGTGAGAAAGCACTCAACTAAAATAGCAGACTGTACCACGTTATTACTTAAAATGGCATATATGTCCCTTCTTCTGTTCCCAAGTTCCAGGGGAAAATTCCACTTTTGGGTGAGCAGACCTATCTGCATCTCCCAATGCACTGACAGACTCTCTAGAAAGACGTAGATGCCGCAGGACTTGACTTGCAGTTGCTTTGGAGCAGAGGCACAAAAGGGAATTATTAGCAGAGAATTCAGAAGCTGACATTTGAGACCCAAGCACTGCAGGGAAAGATTTTGGCATCCAACAAACAGAATTTGTGGAAGCCTGAATACTAAGTGGAAAGCTTCCACGCCAGTCTACTGGAAATGCAGGCAAACCAGGAAAAGAAGGGACACAAGCAAAAAAGCCACCCACATCCCTCGATGAGAACTCTGAGCAGGAAGTCACACGTGTAACATTGTGCATGCTTTGAGCATGTCTTGGAGATCAAACCTCATCAGCAGACTGGGGAATACCAGTCTGCAACTCCATCAGGCTTTCTGCTGAGCAATGCAGCACTATCAAATCTAAGGTAGCTCTACATGTGCCCCTATGCAGAACCAGGTGAAGAAGTTAAAGCTGTACCATCAAGGCAACATCTTAGAGGACATTTTGAAAGTGCCCAAACACTGCTGGATTTTGGACAAACAGGTGCCTGAAGGCATACCTACTTCGTCCAGTGGGAAAACAGAAAGGACAGCACTGAGTGTGACTCGCTACACTCACATAATGCCATGAGGAAATACTGGTGCTAAACTATGGGCACTTTTGAGTTGCCACCTTCAGGAGTCAGGCACAGTCCTACAATGACACAGATGTAACTCTTCCGGAACAAGTAATGACACAGCTAGCGTAAGTGCTACACTCGCTGTGTCACGTGCAGATGTCTCACCAGCCTCCTCTTATGAGCATCACCTAAGCAATCCACTTCCATTGTATGTGCACCTACATATACAAAGACATACATGCACATATAAAAACAATCTATGCTACATACACAGTTTTGTAATCTCCCCAGAAGACACTGAAAACAACTGAATTTTAGAACAGATCCTTGTCCTTTACTGAAAACTACTGCTAGCCATTTATCTATTCTACTTATAGAGACATCCATTTCTATATGATGGTTCTGACTGCTGGTAATTACTACTTCTATTCAAAAAGGAAAAGGTGATTATACTTGAATAATAAAGCACTCATTTCAGCTGGCACAGAAGATTTCAGATTCTTCAGGGTCCATTGCTGCTTCTTCATTTTCAAGGTAGTAAGCTAAACCATGTGTAACAAAATCAACTGACACTGTTATTTTGTTTGGCTTTGTCAATCAAAGGAGCCTGCTGAATGCATTTCACCCATATATTTTGTCTGAGCATCAGCTGGAAATAAAGTTTTTACTACGTATGCATAAAAACTGTGTCATACCACCTCTCACTGGAGAGAATCCCCCGCAAAGCAAAGGGGAATATAAAGCAAGGTTTCCTTCAAAATGCGTTGCACTGGAATTTGCCTTACTCTGAGAAGATGGTGGGTTTTCTCCATTTCCTTTACTAGCCAAAGATTACTTGATCCCAGTGAACACAGCTCTTTTGCTGGGCAGCTTCCTCTTAACTAGAATGAGCACTGAGAGTTCTTCACCATAGCACAGCATACACTACCTACCTTCTATAAATGTTGTCCTCACTGGTCTGCAAAAGTCCTGTGAAGCAGGAAGTTAAAAATGACCCTCATTTTATAGCTGAAAAACTTACTGTACAAAGAAGTGATGGCTTCAATTCAATATGGCAGACAGGAGTAACTTGAAACATGAATATTTATGATCATAAGATATTTTTTTTTTCTAAGTGACTTCCTTAGAGCCAAAAGCAAATCTCAACTCTAGTCTTTGCTGAAAATCACCCCCAGCATCCCTAACCAAATTCTTTTACATCAATAGTATGCCATTGTAGTGCAAGAGACTTTCAATGGCTAGACCAGCAAATCTGGTGGCATTGACTAACAGAGATACTTAAAATGAACTAAAGAGAAATAAACTGTAGAAACCATTACTTTCTAGAAAATCTTTCAAACCAGTTCTTCTCCAACATTCTATAGCATGGCAAACATGATCAATTTGAGAAAAAATATACTTCAAAGTGCATGTAGAATAAATAAAAGTGTGACATTTATTCTGGAACAGATTTGAAAACATTCTTTTGTTTAATAATGGGCCTCATGACTGACAATTCTAAGCAAGTTTCATGCAATTGAGAAACTTATTGTTATACATGTTGATTATGCATGAATTAACACACAGAGTTCTCTGAATGGTCTAAAAACCCGCATCTATATCTCACTACAATATCAAATGGCCAGAGTTTCAGGAAAAAGTATTAGTGAAAATTGTGTGCATGGAATATTCAGAAACAAACTGCAAAGAAATGCTTAATGGGCAAGAACAAATAGATCTGCCGTGCAGTAATATTTTAAATATTCCTGGAAAAAAACACTTGCTGAACTCCTTTAGTTCTTGTTGGAAACTCTGCCTCAATTAAACTTGAGTGGACTGAATTATTCAAAGCTATTGGATACATCTGCTTACCTGCTCTGTCTCAACGAAGTTAGACACATGTCCATCATCATTGACCCCTCGAATGTGAAACCGGGCACCAGCTCGCTCACAGCTGATGCGAGAGATGAGGCAGGCTTTCGCCTTCTTGTGGGAAGCATAAACAGTGCGAATGTCCACTACGCCACAGATCACTTTCAGCAACCAGTCAGAGCAGTTCACCTGGTAGTGTCTGAAGGGCACGTGCAATAGCTGGTTCCTGAAAGGTTCAACAACATGAATGAAATAAGACAGACAGGCATGGGTGCCACCCCGCAATCACTAATTTAAGCAATTAACGTTCTGTGATCCCTTTCCTGTTGTACCTTTACTTTATCCAAACCCAGGAAATATCAGGAAGAAATCCTCGTGAACTACTACAGTGAACAGAACATGGCAAATTTTAATAGCACAGCTCCCACCAAAGTGCTGTCCTTTTATCTTGTACCTCTGTCTTATAAATTCAGACACAAATGTCACCTCTTTCAGCTCCAGAAATACATTTATATGTAGTGTGTTGGGTTTACATGGCAAGGTTTTG